ATTGTTTTAGACGTAACTTGTAATACAATCCAGGAACCCTGGAAGTGGAATTACAATACTTGAAAACTGAGGTACAACTTATTTGAAAGTCACTGCTGCTTTTGCTGGTTTAGCCGATACAGGTATGTCCAGTCTTCAGAAGTATATTAAATACTGTACTGTCTCTTGATTAACCTTTTCTGGTTTTTGTTTTTTGTTTTTTGCAACAGAGTCTCGCTCTGCCAGCCAGGCTAGAGTGCAGTGGCACCATCGCGGCTCACTGCAACCTCCGCCTCCCGGATTCAAGCAATTCTGCCTCAGACTCCTGAGTAGCTGGGATTACAGGCACATGCCACCACGCCTGGCTTATTTTTGTATTTTTAGTAGAGACGGGGTTTCACCATGTTGGCCAGGCTGGTCTCAAACTCCTGACCTTGTGAGCCACCGTGCCCTACCTTGATTAACCTTTTCTACAATGTGCTCGAGTGCATAAAAAATCCTGTATTTGCATATGATTAAACATTTTGGTGTTTGATATATCAAATATTGTGGCTTTTGTTATGTACATCCTTCAACTTGACCAATTTAAACAAAAATGGAATTTCTCTGCCCTGTTGGTGTAATGAGTTTGTGACAGGAAATTAAATTTTTCAACCAGTGATATAATTTTATGACTGAATTTAATATTGACCTGTTAATGTGACATTTTCATGTTTCTGTTGAGTCTGCCTTGATGAATAACTCAGAGCACTTATGCTGTGGTACATAGTATTTCTCATTTCTGGAATTGGATGCTTTATTTTCTGGTATGACTATGATAAGAGAGGTGATAGAGTGGCTTCTGCATCTAATTGGTTTGAATCCTGGCATTACACTTAACTGATTTGGGCAAAAGTATCCTCGTGGCTCGATGTTTTGTTTTTCTCCCCTGTAAGAGCACTTACTACTGTCTTAGCTCGGGCGGCTATTTGGAAAAAAAAAAAAATGACTGGGTGGCTTTTACACACTCATTCCTCACTGTTTTTAGAGCCTGGGAAGTATAAGATCACAGTGCCCCGATTGGTGCCCCAGTTTGGTTCCTGGTAGGAGTCTGCATACAGAGAGCGCAATAGATGTCAGTTTCCTTGGCTCCTCAGCTGTATTGGATTCAACTAACTACTCCAGTTTTTGAGACACTTTTGCAGAACAATGTAAAGCCATTCCTTCTGACAACTTTGTCTCTCAGATGTTCCCTCTTTTCATGAGTAGTTATGCCCTGTACTCAATCATTGCCTGCTGCTCTACAACACTGTCTTGGGAGTTCACCTATCCCTGTAGTTACAGTGAACCTTTCATAGCCCCAGGTAATGTCATTAACTCTGATCTGGACCCACCATGGGGTGGCTGTGCTGAGGCAGTGTTGAGCCACCCCTAGTGGTAAGGAGCACACTGCTGACCTCCATCCTATGGCAAATCCAATTTGGTGATTCACTGTTTCCCTCATGGAGACCAAGGAGGAATTTGCTACATGGTAGGTTGGTGAATCCAGCCTCTGGCTAAGACCTGGCCTGGACTCCTGCAACTCTTTATGAAACTTAACCAAGAATGACTGCATCTTTACACGGGGCGGAGGGGGAAGATGCTGAGAAGGCCCTTCAGGATAAACTGGCTCCATAGCTCTGCTATAATGGTGGCTCCTCACGAGTAAGCACTTGGAGATTTTTGTGGCTTCCTGCCCACTCACCCTGCTCACCAGTCCAGGTATTTATGATTCGAGATCTAGACATAATTTTATTTTATTTTTTTTTTTTGAGACGGAGTTTCACTCCTGTTGCCCAGGCTGGAGTGCAATGGCGCAATCTCGGCTCACCGCAACCTCCACCTCCCGGGTTCAAGTGATTCTCCTGCCTCAGCCTCCTGAGTAGCTGGGATTACAGGCATGTGCCACCACGCCCAGCTAATTTTGTTTTTTTAGTAGAGACAGGGTTTCTCCATGTTGGTCAGGCTGGTCTCAAACTCACAACCTCAGGTGATCTGCCTGCCTCGGCCTCCCAAAGTGCTGGGATTACAGGCGTGGGCCACCACACCCAGCCAAGACATAATTTTTAAAATTACCTTCCAGCTGGCTGGGCGCGGTGGTTCACACCTGTAATCCCAGCACTTTGGGAGGTGGGCAGACCACAAGGTCAAGAGTTCGAGACCAGCCTGACCAACATGGTGAAACCCTGTCTTTACTAAAAATACAAAAATTAGCTGGTCATAGTGGCACAGGCCTGTAATCCCAGCTACTCGGGAGGCTGAGGCAGAAGAATCGCTTGAACCTGGGAGGTGGAGGTTGCGGTGAGCCAAGATCGTGCCACTGTACTCCAGCCTGGGCGACAGAGTGAGACTCCATCTCAAAAGAAAAAAAAAAAAATTCCTCTTCTTTCCTTTATTCGTTATTCTTAGCCCCCATCTAGCCCATATAAGTAGGTAATAATATGAGTAGCTATAATGAGGACCCCTCAGGGAACAGATGCTGTTTGGCCACTCAACAGAAGCATGCAATTACCTTATCAAGATTTGCTCCTAAACTTACTCTAGATAGAGCCTTCAGGCAGGAAACAATATATTTCTTGTCTCCAGAAGAATATATTCATACTCATTCAAATGTGCTAGGCACTGGCCATAAAGAATGTATTGGTGTTCATTCATAATAAAGCAGTGTAACAGGATCATCTTGCAAAGCTTATATAGTCTGGTAGAGGAGACAGATAAACGAGGAATTACATGGTAAGTTGAAAGAGGAAGTTAGGGGTAAGATGCTGCACCAAATCCAGGAGATTGGAAGGTTTTTCTAGAAGAAGTAATGTTTAAGAGGAGTTTCAGAGGTAAATTTCTGGCTTGGTTAACAGAGGATAGTTACACTGCTCACTGAGATTAGAGAAGAAACAGGCTGGAAGAGTTTGGTTTCAATGTCAAATTTGAGGTGCTTATAGGAAATTTTGTTTGTTTATTTATTTATGAGACATGGTTTCTCTCTGTCGCCCAGGCTGGAGTGCAATGGTGTGATCTCGGCTCACTGAAACCTCTGCCTCCCAGGTTCAAGCAATTCTCCTATGTCAGCCTTCCCAGTAGCTGGGATTACAGGCGCACGCCACCATGCCCGGCTAATTTTTGCATTATGGTAGAAATGGGATATCACCATGTTCGCTAGGCTGGTCTCAAACTGCTGATCTCAAATGATCCGCCCTCCTCGGCCTCCCAAAGTGCTGGGATTACAGGTGTGAGCCAGGGTGCCCGACCTGATGCGCTTGTAAGAATTTAAATGAAGAGGCTCAGTTTAGGAGACTAGGTTAGATGTAAAGATTTCAGACTTGTCAGTATACAGGTGGTGACTGATGCCGTGGGAAGGACTGGTATTACCCAGGGAGCTGGTGCAAAGTAGGAGCCTTGGAGAACATGTTAAGGGGATGTCAGAGTAACCCCACAAAGACTCAGAAGTGGCCAGAGAGTAAGGGGAAAATGGGATAGAATAGAGCAAAAGCCACGGGAGGCACTCCTTGAATTCCTTGGACTCAGATATGTTAGGGGACAGGAAACACATTCAAGATAACTGAAAAGAAGAGACTTAAGTGTGCTGCTCAGTTCTTAGCAGGGGAGGCAGCTGATTTCACCACTATTCCAGACCCTAAAGATTTCTCCTGAAATTGCACTGTTATGCAACTTTTTTCCTTCTCTATTGCCCCACCTCTGGGGCGTACACTCTAGTTTATCTTCTCTGATTTATCTGACTCATCCACATATCTCTGCAAAGTCTTAATGTAGGTTTCCAGGATTTAATGATTCTTTCAATCTACTTTAAAGTTCTTCAGGAAGATTCTCCAGGTCCGTCAACCGTTTTCCCCTTCATGACTTTGTGACCAAGTTTTCTTATTCCACTATCCAGGTGTTCCCAACAAGTTGCTGTAATGGTGGCCCTCATAAGCTTGCCTAGAAACCCTAGAAAGCTCAGAAAAATTATGAACTTTGCCCAGTAAGAGGCTGGGAAGTCAGCAAGGGTTTTAAACAAAACTGACCCCACTTGTTATATGCTCCTTTCACTGTCCAAACGTCAACCAAGGTAACTTTTCACTGTGGGACATTAAGACGCTCCCGGCGTCCTCACCCCTTCATCGCCAGAGCTGATATTCGAAGGCCAGGGGGCGCCAGCCCCAAGGGGGCTCGCACCGAGACGCTCCCAGCAAGCCCCGCACGCGAGCGAATGACTGACGCCAAGCGAAACGCACAGGACCTCCCGAAGCCGCCGAGAGCAAAACGACCCATCAGAGCTCTGCTGAGACCCGCGGCGGGCCGGGCTCTCACTCGAGATTCTCGCCCGTGGGAGCTGAACGAGTCTTTTGTCACACCCCACTCTTTACTGTTTCGAAAAACTAAGGTTAAAACAAAAAAGCCCGGCCGGGCGCGGTGGCTCAAGCCTGTAATCCCAGCACTTAGGGAGGCCGAGACGGGCGGATCACGAGGTCAGGAGATCGAGACCATCCTGGCTAACACGGTGAAACCCCGTCTCTACTAAAAATACAAAAAACTAGCCGGGCGAGGTGGCGGGCGCCTGTAGTCCCAGCTACTCCGGAGGCTGAGGCAGGAGAATGGCGTGAACCCGGGAGGCGGAGCTTGCAGTGAGCTGAGATCCGGTCACTGCACTCCAGCCCGGGCTACAGAGCAAGACTCCGTCTCAAAACGTGAACCTGAAGGCGGAGCTTGCAGTGAGCTGAGATCCGGTCGCCGCCCGCCCGGGCCGCAGCTTACCCTGTCTCAAAAAAAAAAAAAAAAAAAAAAAAAAAAAAAACAAACAAAAAAAACCAAAAAAGCCCAAAACGTCAAGACGGGGGACTCCAACACTGGGGTGTCTAGAAACACTGAGGTCTTCAGAAGCTCTGCACATGCGTCCGAGGTCCCCGGTTCTGCCCGCAGCCCCAGACCCCAACCTCACTTCCGCCCTGCGCCCCTCGACCCCGGCCAGCCCCGGCTCTGGCCTTGCGCCTGCGCACAGTGGGATGCGCGAGGAGGTGGGGACAGGGGGCGGGGCTACTTCAGGTCCCGCCCGTGGCGCGGCCTGTGGGCTGCGAGGAGGAGCCTTGCCTAACTTGCAGGCAGCGCAGGGCAGACGGCGGCAGGAGAAGCGGTCGTGGGCAGGATGAATGCAGGCTCAGATCCCGTGGTCATAGTCTCGGCGGCGCGGACCATCATAGGTAAGCGGCCGGCGGGCCTCGCGCAGAGTCCAAGGCGCCTGCTGCTTCGGCAGGAGCGCCGAGGGCTGGACTTGTGTAGGAGAGGAGCGTATGTGGAGGAAGCCGCTCAGGCCAAGCCTGGAGGACCTGCGGGATCCTTGGAACCCCGGGCCTCCCGCGTTCCCTGACCTGGCGCGACAGCCCCACCTTCTCCTCTCCCGATGTGCGCACTCCGTCCCTCGTGCTCTGATTGGCTCCCAGGGTAGAGCCATCGCGTGGCCTACGTCTCCCATTGGTTGGCTTAGGAAGGCGTTCTTCTGCGGGTCCCCTGATTGGCCGACTCCGGGAGGCGCCATCGGTAATGCCTGTGGCAGGGGCGGAACTGCTAGGTGGTCTGAGCCGGGCTTTGGACTGGGGTCGGGCTGTCACACAATGGCTGGAAGTCGCGACCTCGTCTCCTTCGTGCCACATGGTTTTCAAAGCCCTTGATCCGCCGGTTCCTTTTGTTTGGGAACCATGGGGCCGCATCCAGTCCTTCGGATTTGGGGAAATAGAAGGGTTACAGCGGCGTCCCTAGGCCGTTTCGAAGGTCGCTTGTCTGGCCCTCGGCCACTGCGAGTCCTGGCACCCACCTTGACCTTTGCTCAGACCAGCAGGTGTGGGAACATGTGGGAGGAGGGGCACTGCCTCCTCGCGGTGGCCTTGCCAAACAGTGTCATGAGGCCCCGCTGCTCCTGGGTGGTTTCTACATTACCCACAGGTTTGTGATGTCCGCGCTCTCCGCCTTTCTACTGCAGGTTCCTTCAATGGTGCCTTAGCTACTGTTCCTGTCCAGGACCTGGGCGCAACTGTCATCAAAGAAGTCTTGAAAAGGGCCACTGTGATTCCAGAAGATGTGTCTGAGGTCATCTTTGGACATGTTTTGGCAGCAGGTAACTCTCAGTGATTCCAGGAGAAGTCAAGCTTATTAGAAACAGCCCATAAACACGCGCACACGCACACACACACACACACACACACACACACACACTCTCACTCAAGTTCTTGCCTCCATGCTTTTGCTCAGAGTTCCCTCTGTTAAGATTCCTCTTGTGTCCCCTTCTTCCAGCCCCGTCAGTAGCTTCTATCCAGTTTGAGACTCAACTTCTTGGCCAGGCAGGGTGGCTCCCCCCTGTAATCCCAGCACTTTGGGAGGCCGAGGAGGAAGGATCACTTGAGGCCAGAAGTTTGAGATCAGCCTGGGCAACAAAGCAAGACCCTGTCTCTACAAAAAATAAAATAATTAGCCAGGCATGATGGTCTGTGCCTCCCAGCTACTGGAGAGGCTGAGGTGGGAGGATCACTTGAGCCCAGGAGTTTGAAGCTGCAGTGATTGTGTCACTCACTGCATTCCATCCTGGGTGACAGACTGAGACCCTTTCTCTAAACAAACAAAAAGACTTCGCTTCATTAGTATGCTTTTTGTGAATGAACTTAGACCACTGACCTATACTGCCTTTTCATTCTTAAGACGCAGGGCCAGCCAGGCATGGTGGCTCACGCCTGTAATCCCAGCACTCTGGGAGGCCAAGGCGGGTGGACCACGAGGTCAGGAGATCAAGACCATCCTGGCTAACACGGTGAAACCCCGTGTCTACTAAAACTACAAAAATTTAGCCGGGCATGGTGGTGGGCGCCTGTAGTCCCAGCTACTCGGGAGGCTGAGGCAGGAGAATGGGGTGAACCCGGGAGGCAGAGCTTGCACTGAGCTGAGATTGTGCCCCTGCACTCCAGTCTAGGCGACACAGTGAGACTCTGTCTCAAAAAAAAAAAAAAAAAACAGGGCCAGCCTGATGCATAGGAAAGTATGCCTGCTCCTCCTTATTACCTCAGAGTGTCACTCATTCACCAAAAACTTATTCAGTTCCTCCTGTGTGCCCCATATTGTGCTTAGTGCTGGGAGTATGGCTCCACCAATACAGGTAAGTTCCCTGCGCCTCTTAGAACTCAGTTCTGAGCTTGGAAAACAGGTGCCACATCATGCCCCTTGCAAATGGGGCATAATACTCCCTAGAGGAATATAACTGAGTCCTGAGAGTGCCCCCATCTTCTGATTCTTTGGGTTTCAACACTCCTAATTAATTAATTAATATTATTATTTAAAGAGACAGGGTCTTACTCTGTCATTCAGGCTGGAATGCAGTGATGTAATAAATCAGAGCCCACTCTAACCTCAAACTCCTGGACTCAAGGTATCCTCCCACCTGAGCCTCTGGAATAGCTGGGATTACAAGAGCAGGCCACCATGCCTGGTTAATTTTTAAAAATCTTTTGTAGAAGTGGAGTCTCTGTCTGTTGCCAAGGCACGCGTGCAGTGGCTGTTCACAGGCACAATCATGGTGCACCATGGCCTTGAACTTCTGAACTAACTGGGACTACCGGTGCATGTCTACTAAGTTTAAGGCTTTTAAAGCACTAAGTGCTTTCCTTTCATTACCTCATTTAATCTTCCCCACAAGTCTGTTATATCCTATTAGCTTCATTTTACAAATGAATAAATGAGAGTTTGAGAGGTTAAATGACTTACCAGGGTCACAGTTTGAAGTGGAGCTAGCACTTGAACTTAGATCGGTCTTATTCCTTAAGCCAGATACCTTCTATAATCATGTAACAAATGTTTATTGAGCACCTACTTTGTGCCAGGCACTATTTTAGCAGCTGGAGATAAGCGATGCTCATATCAGACAGAAATTCTCATTCTCATGAAGCTCATAGTATGCTAAATGCTAGCATTATTAATTATGTTAGCACCTCATTTTTTTTTTTTTTTTTGAGATGGAGTCACACTCTGTTGCCTAAGCTGGTGGAGTGTAGCCGTACGATCTTAGCTCACTGCAACCTCCGTCTCTCAGGTTCAAACAATTCTCTTGCCTCAGCCTCCTGAGTAGCTGGGATTACAGGCACTTACCACCATGCCCAGCTAATTTTTGTATTTGTAGTAGAGACGGGTTTCACCATGTTGGCCAGGCTGGTTTCGAACTCCTGACCTCAAGTAATCTGCCCCGGTTGGCCTCCCAAGGTGCTGGGATTACAGGCGTGAGCCACTGCTCCCAGCCTGAGGCACTGCGCCCGGCCTGTCTTTTTAATATATATATGATCCTGCGTATATTTTCAGTCTCAAGTAACCTTACCTGTTTTTAGTTTCCAGCCTAATCCCAGATTTATAACATTGTGATGAATATAATCTCTAAGTTTTTGTCAGTGACTTATTTGCTAGTTCTTCCCCACAAACTCACCAAGGATGGGTGGTAGGTATGAATATATCTGAAACTTGGAATAGAGTAATCACTGTATAGACATTTACCGTTGACTCTGATAACAGACAATAGTGATTGAGAATATTTGAAACTTTTAACTCCATTCTATTCTGTGCTACTTTAAGTAAATTATGTATTTTTCCCAACTAAAGGAAGTCCCGTAGTTGAATTATTAAAAGGTATTTGTGTTTCAGTACTCAGAATAAGAAAAAAAAGGTATTTGTGAATTCTGAGTTTGTATATATCTTGTTATATAACCATTTAAGCATAGTGTGGTGGATACTAAGCAAGAACAGAACTGCTTATTGTCAAAGGTTTTCCTTTTTAAGTAACCTCTTCTTCTTAAGTGTCTTAAGCCATGATCCTGGGAGCAAATGGCGCTAGTTAAAAACACTGATAATGCCTAGGTTATATCCTGTGTTTATTAGACATAGGTTTGATAATGCTTATTTAAGCCCTATCTTTTTTTTTTTTTTTTTTCCTTTTTTTAAGACGGAGTTTCAGTCTTGTTGCCCAGGTTGGAGTGCAGTGGCGCAATCTCGGCTCACCACAACCTCCGCCTACTGGGTTCAAGCAATTCTCCTGCCTCAGCCTCCCAAGTAACTGAGATTAAAGGCATGCGCCACCACGCCTGGCTAATTTTGTATTTTTAGTAGAAACAGAGTTTCTCCATGTTGGTCAGGCTGGTCTTGAACTCCCGACCTCAGGTGATCTGCCCTCCTTGGCCTCCCAAAGTGCTAGGATTACAGGCGTGAGCCACCGCGCCTGGCTATTTAAACCCTATCAAAAGATGAGGATGACACCTCTTTCTTAAGGTATTAATGACTTCTTTATGGAGGAGAAAGCTTATATCTATGAAATACCTACAGAGCAGCACAAGACAGTATATATTCAAGGGCTAGAGTATGACAGGTGGAGATTGTAGACAGGCCTTTTTGCCTCCAGTGGGCACTTACCTGACCTGTAGGCTTTCAGAAGTGGCAGGTAACCCAACTGGTAATTTTACACACACTTTCACTGTGACATTTTGTCTTTCTCCCTGATTGCTAAGAGTTCTCTGTGTTCCTCTGTGTTCCTCTTTCTAGGCTGTGGGCAGAATCCTGTTAGACAAGCCAGTGTGGGTGCAGGAATTCCCTACTCTGTGCCAGCATGGAGCTGCCAGATGATCTGTGGGTCAGGCCTAAAAGCTGTGTGCCTTGCAGCCCAGTCAATAGCGATAGGAGACTCCAGCATTGTGGTTGCCGGAGGCATGGAAAATATGAGCAAGGTAAGGCCTCTCTGATGAGATGGCTTTCACTGACCTCATGCCAAGAAACTCATGTCTGTGCCAGAACAGAGTAAACTGATGCATATCAAAGCTGGAACCAGTGAACAAATGCACGGAAATGACAACCTTGATCCTTACTTGATGTGAATTATTCTTCAGTGTGGGTGGGAAATCTAGGTTGATGAAAAAGTGTATCAACCAGTGTGATTGGAATCCAATATACTTTTTCTAAACTATTAATGAAGCATATAATAGTTTCTGAATTAAATTCATAATATGAGTTGCCTGATGTCCTTGGTTTTAAATTTCTTTCCCATTGTGAGTAAAAGGCAAAACACAAATGTTGCCACTTACCTTCTTGGTGCCCTTCTCCAGTAGGTTTGCCAGGCACGATTTGTTTCACCAAGTTCCATACCTCAAACTGGCATAGCAGTTGAAAGAAAAAGTATATTCCCTCCGTCCTACTGAGGCAGCTCAGGGGCTGAGCAGCACATTCCCTAGATAGAAGCTGATTCAGCCCAGCCATTGCTGAGGTTCAGGAGGAGGCAGGTAGCAAAAATCATCAGAATGATTTTAATGGGATGACACTGACATCTGTGTAGCACTTTACCAGGTGCTCTTGTACATGTATTCACAACATCCCCATATAGGGTAGATGATATCATTCCCAGTTTACAGGTTAGGAAACTGAGGCCTAGAGCCAGCATTCAAATACAACTCTCCCAACTGTAAGTCCCATCAATAACTCTTTCCATTCTAATATACCTGCGATTGAGTTGGTGAGAGTTAAGACTGGCCGCTACTCAGAAATCCCTCCCCATCATTTAGTTAGGCAGCCTGGTTATTCTCACTGTAGATATCATATCATCCATTAAAACGGGTAACGCATTGCTGGCTTTACTTAAGCCCTTAGAAGGTTTCTTCATTTAACCGATAATTAACTGCCTCGATGGAAAGAATAAATGGGACTCTTAAGGAAACAGGACACAGAATGGGTAGTTTTGAGGGAGAACTGGAGATGGGTAGGTAGGAGACTAATGGTTCCCAACAACAGGAAAGATGAAGTCTGCTAATTCCAGGGGTCTGTAGACCCTGGCCTGGCTAAGAACCTGGAACTGGGGAGAAGGGCTGCAAAGGGGCCTAGATGAAGACTTAGGAAATATTAGATAGTTTTGAGTTGTGTTCTGGGGAAAAGACTAATTACAACTAAGCCTAAATCCATTTTTATTTCTGACTTCTAGGCTCCTCACTTGGCTCACTTGAGAACAGGAGTAAAGATAGGTGAGATGCCGCTGACTGACAGTATACTCTGTGATGGTCTTACAGATGCATTTCACAACTATCATATGGGTATTACAGGTAAGGCAGACATAGCTGAAACTATATTCACTTTAAAAAGGTTAAAAGACCATGTAATAATATGCTTCTTAGGTGCCTTTGTCCTTATCGCCAGAGACTGTCTTAAGGATTTTTGTATCTCTTCTTTGATTAACTGAAGTGAAGTGAGTATTCTCTTCTTTGTGAACCCTTGATTATCAGAGAATGTTAGAAGTGGGAAGTACCTCAGAGTTCTTCTGGATCACCCCCTCATTTTACCAAATGAAGGAACAGGGCCCACAAATAGTGAGAGGTAGTAACAGAGATAAACCAGTTTTTGTTTTTGTTTTTGTTTTTGGTTTTTTTTGATACCTAACTGTATTTTTTGTACTATACAGTTGGGTTATTGGTCATTCATGTTGAAGGGTCCTGTGGTCTAGGTTTAATGGCAAAGCAACTGGGAAATCAAAAGAACTCATTTCTTTAGTATACATATAAAAGTTAGGAAACAGAATAGACATTTTAGAGTTAAAGAATCAAACCCTGAGAACTTAAGCACCTTGCTCAAATGTTTGCAGCAATGGTTCTGGTTCTATGTAACATAAATATGTGAAAAAGGTAATGGAGAAAAGTACAAGATTCCAAGAAGAGGGAACTGTGTGCATGAATGCAAGGAAGGAAGGAAGGGCTTAGAGATATGGGAAGCAGTGAGAAGCTCAAGGCATCTTGACCACTTCTCAATTTAGAGCCACAACAGAGAAGGCTATGAGAACACAAGCAGACCATGAAAGATACTGTGTGACCAACTGCCTCAACCATAACTAGAGGTGGTCATTAAAAATGCTGATCCCGAGCCCTTTCCAAGGTGTACTGTGGATTGAATTGTACTCTTCCAGCCTCCAGAACTGTGAGAAAATAAATTGCTCGTTTAGAGAAAAAAAAAAAAAAAAAGCTCAGGTCATGATGGAGGAATTGACAAAGATCAGACTTCCTACTATAAACAAGCATAAAATTTGTGAAAGTATATGAAGCCACTGCTTTCAAGTTTTGACTAATACTCATGTAAGACTGAGATCTTGAGAGAAAGGAAAACCCCACTGTCACTGTCTCTACCTGGGACACTTCCCAAACTTATGGAGAGGCAGAGCCTAAGCTGGGAACAGTGGTCTCAGTGATCTGAAGAGGCAGAGAATTTGAGGCTTCTGAGATGGCTGGAGTTTGTGGGGCAGAATAAGGGGGAGAAGAAAAAAGAACCCCAGAAATCTGCAGAAGGGTCCCCTTAAGTCTTTGATCAAATACTAAACTTGTAGATAACAGCTTATAAGGCCTAGTAGAAAAGAGCTGCAAGGGAGAGGTGAACTGGAGATTTTATAGATGATAGCTTTTATAGGGTGCAGTGGCAGGTGTCTATAGTCCCAGCTACTAGGGAGGCTGTGGTGGGAGGATCACTTGAGGCCAGCAGTTTGAGGTTGTGTAGTATACTATGATTTTGCCTGTTAGTAGCTGCTACACTCCAGCCTGGTCAACATAGTGAGTCCTCATCCAAAAAAAAAAAAAAAAAGAGGAAGAATAGCTTGGTAAGTAAAGACAAGACATGGAACGCAAAGCAATAACTTTTTTATTTTTTGGTGGAGACAGGGGTCTCACTCTGTCACCCAGATTGAAGTGCAGTTGCTCAATGTTGGCTCACTGCAACCCCCTGAGCCACCTCAGCCTCCTGAGTAGCTGGGACCACAGGTGCACACCACCATGCCTGGCTAATTTTTTGTACTTTTTGTAGAAATAGGGTTTCACCATGTTGCCCAGGCTGGCCTCAAACTCCTGAGCTCAAGGGATCCTCCTGCCTCAGGCTCCCAAAGTGCTAGGATTACAGGTGTGACCCACCACACCTGATCAATTCTCACATTTGTAGAAGAGAGTTACAAATGTGGAAAGAGAGAAGAATGTAGCTTGTGGTGTGCGGTTGCATTTTGGAGAACTCAAAATGCAGTATGAACTCAAGGTGAGTGTGTGTGCATATGTAAAATGATAAATTACACATATGGAAGTTTCCACTGAAGAGACCTAGAAACAATGACAAACCATTCACAACAAGCGGTCCTGACCCCCACATCTTCTAAAAACATTTCTCCACTAAAAGGAACTAAGGTTGTTTGGAGAAATGACCAAACTTTCCAAGGCTGGGGAAAAAATGCTAAAAAATTAAGGACATGCTCGGGGACATGTCGAAAGTACACAGGAGGCGGCCTACAGGGCTTCCACTTTCCTGTAGTGGAATTTTGAACAATGTGAGCATCAAAGTCAGTAATGATAGTAACGGGTTATAACTGCCCAAATTTTGAACAATTTGAGCATGCAAGTAAGTAATGATACTAATGGGTTATAACTGCCCAAGTTTTGAACAATTTCAGCATCAAAGTAAGTAATGATAGTAATGAGTTATAACTTATTCAATAAAATGAAAATGTATGAGTCCATCCTGATATAAATAACTGAATAAATAGGAGAAAAGGAACAGCTTTTTTTTATGGTAAAATGCAATTAATACCTTACCAATAGAAGGAATGTTGGAGTTAGAAAATCATAAATGAATGCTAAAACTAGTGGGTGAAAATATGATGGGGAAGAATATATTTTGATAATCTAAAAAGAGCCTCCCATAAATTATTGATTACTTATAAATGAAAAAATGGTACCTTTAAAAGCTAGAAACCTGGTGAATACCAAACTGTTTTAACCAAGTGATCAAAGATGACATCACCTGGGATAAACTGATTGTCATTTATGTCCTAATAAGATTCACTGAGAAGGCCAGGCGTGGGGCTTAAGCCTGTAATCCCAGCACTTTGGGAGGCCGAGACGGGCAGATCACGAGGTCAGGAGATCAAGACCATCCTGGCTAACACGGTGAAACCCTGTCTCTACTAAAAATAAAAAAATTAGCCAGGCCTGGTGGCGGGCGCCTGTAGTCCCAGCTACTCAGGAGGCTGAGGCAGGAGAATGGCGTGAACCCGGGAGGTGGAGCTTGCAGTGAGTGGAGATCGCGCCACTGCACTCCAGCCTGGGTGACAGAGCCAGACTCCGTCTCAAAAAAAAAAAAAAAAAAAAGATTCACTGAGAAAAAGCATACTATCATTCAGTGGTATACCTCCCTTTTGGCAGAATCTTAATGTAATCCTGAGGAAACATCAGACAAATCAAAATTGATATCCTTAACAAAAGAACTGGTCCATGTTCTTCAAAAATATCAAGCTTAGGAAGCATAGTCTGAAGAACTGTTACAGATAAAAGCAAACTAGAGAGATTGGTAGTTGAGTACAATGCATGCTTCTTTATTGGCTCCTGGACTGAACAAATAAAGGAGCTAGAAGGACATTACTGGGATAATAGGTGAAATTTGAATGTGGACCAAAGATTAGATAATAGTGTTTGATTCATGTTAAATTTCCTGATTTTTGTTTTGTTTTGTGAGACGGGGTCACCCAGGCTGGAGTACAGAGGCGCAATCATGGCTTGCTGCAGCTTTGAACTCCTAGGCCCAAGTGATCCTCCTGCCTTAGCCTCCCAAGCAGCTGGGACTGCTAGCTACATGGCACACACACCGTGCCCAGATAAATTTATTTTTAATGGAGACAGAGTCTCACCATGCCCAGGCTGGTCTCAAACTCCTGGGCTCAAGTGATCCTACTGCCTCAGCCTCCCAAAGTGCTGGGATTACAGGTGTGACCCACCACACTTCGCCCAATTTCCTGAGTTTTATAACTGTGCTTATGTAAAAAAGTGGCCTTGTTTTGGGGAAGTATACACTGAAATTAAAATTTAAGAGTAAAAAGGCATTGTATCTCCAACTTTCTCTCAAATGGTTCAGAAAGAAAATGTTAAAGCAAATGGAGGGGAAATATACCTGGTGACTCTAGGTGAAGGAAATGTCTGTTAAGTTTACAATTATATAGAAAGGGAAGGAGAGAAGTATGACTCCTGAGAGTCTCCGCAACACTTCTAGACCCACTGTCGGTGGCAGGCAGGGCCACCCCACACAGAGCATTGCACAGGCCACCATGAGCCTGCTAGCATGTGTGGTCAGTCAGTGCTTGGTCAAATATGGGCAACTTGATCTATCAAATGCCAGTTCATGAAAATGTTGGTTTTTTGCTCTTTTTCTCCTTTCCCAGCTGAAAATGTAGCCAAAAAATGGCAAGTGAGTAGAGAAGATCAGGACAAGGTTGCAGTTCTGTCTCAGAATAGGACAGAGAATGCACAGAAAGCTGGCCATTTTGACAAAGAGATTGTACCAGTTTTGGTGTCATCTAGAAAAGGTGAGTATATCATAATGGTTTAATTAAACATCAACCTATTTATAGGTAAGAGTAACATCTAAAAGAGTAATATGTAGGTATCTTTAGAAATTATATCTTAGTTATATTTTTCAGGTTGCAAAGATATGTCCTGGATACATGAAGGTAGGGAGGGGGTATGCTGGGTTTACAGGACACAGTAACATGGGAACTGTGTCAGCACTCAGGCACCCTTGGTTCCAGAGTGTCCATGACTGCTGTGCACATACAGCAGGTTTCATGAGACACTGGAGCACTGGCTCATGGTTGTTAGGAGGCACCAGCTGACCTGTTTCCTGTATAGGCTCAACCTCCTCAGAAGTGGACACCCATTACTTCTTGCTGCTTCTGTGTGATCTCCCTTTCCCATTTCTAAAGGGTGGATCTTTTGGGGTCACTTGCTATTTCCTAATACAGAGTGCTTCCATCAAGCTCCCTTATTGATAACTGACATCTCTTATGTCCAGCCAGCAGTGCAGGATTGACTTTGAGACTCCCTGATCCACTCACTTGTAACCAGTCAAGTACTATGACCCAAACCATAGCAGAATTTGGCACAAACAGGTCCCTGGTAGCTACTTTCCTCAGGAAGGCCTATGGATTTGGAAAACACAGGTGTCTTATAAGGACATACTCATACATTGTTTTCATGTACAATAATTCTTGTGTGTACTTTCCTCCTGTTGTAATCAAAGTGGTTATATATTAAAACTTTTCTGCTAAATATGAATCCTGTTTCATGTCAGAGAAACCCACCATTCCCAGCACACTTCTGTCCCTGGACTAATCTTGAGTAATTGGTTTTCCTTTGTTTAGGTCTTATTGAAGTTAAAACAGATGAGTTTCCTCGCCATGGGAGCAACATAGAAGACATGTCCAAGCTAAAGCCTTACTTTCTTACTGATGGAACAGGAACCGTCACCCCAGCCAATGCTTCAGGTTAGATTTTCTGAAGGAAATACTTCATCTGGGGGAATACTACGTTCTATAAGGTCTACCAAGTGAATATTTTTCTCTTTATTTATATACGAAAGTACTGTTTTTTTGAGACAGGGACTCACTCTGCCAGCCAGGCTGGAGTGCAGCAATATGATCTTTGCTCACTCGCAGTCTCAAACTCCTGGCTGGGCTCAAGTGAGCCCCTGCCTTAACCTCCCAAGTAGCTGGGGGACTACAGGCATGAGCCACCACACCCAACTCATATTTATATACAAAATTATTCTTAAAACAGTTTAAGGAAACGTATCATTTCTCTGTATTTGATCACTGACTTAACCTATGCTGAAAGAATTAATTTGGTTTCTTGACATCCCAACTAGACTTGCAAATGAAGAAGTAAATTAGGGAACTTAAGTTTATCTACCTTTGTATTTTTCCAGTACCAGAAACTCCCAATACTTCCTTGTGAGGCCCAGGCTTATTCTTCCATTTCCTGTCAGAGATCTCCCCCCCCCAACGTTTTTTTTTTTTTTTTTTTTTTTTTTATAATTTTTTTTTCTTTTTTTTTTTTGGAGATGGAGTCTTGCTCTGTCACCCAGGCTGGAGTGCAGTTGCACAATCTTGGCTCACTGCAACGTCAGCCTCCCAGGATCAAGCAATTCTCCTGTCTCAGCCTCCTGAGTGGCTGGGACTACAGGCGCACGCCACCACACTGGCTAATTTTTCTATTTTCAGTAGAGACAGGTTTCACCATATTGGCCAGGCTGGTCTCAAACTCCTGACTTCGGGTGATCCATTCTCCCCCACCTCCCAAAGTGCTGGGATAACAGGCGTGAGCCACCACGCCCAGCCCTGACTACTATAATCCTATCACTTTCTCTAGTTGGAAAGTTTTGTGGTCACTATAATTGCCAAACATGATTTCTATGTATAAAGTCTGTTCAGTTACAGTAAATGCCTCAGCCAACAGGTAAAACCATTTAGCTCATGTCTTCAGGTGGTAAAGACACAGATATGTAACTGAAGTTAATAAGCACTGTAGAAATCAAGTCACTCATATTTTACAGGAATAAATGATGGTGCTGCAGCTGTGGTTCTTATGAAGAAGTCAGAAGCTGATAAACGTGGGCTTACACCTTTAGCACAAATAGTTTCCTGGTCCCAAGTGGGTGTGGAGCCTTCCATTATGGGAATAGGACCAATTCCAGCCATAAAGCAAGCTGTGAGTATAACCCTGTTCCCCTTTATGAAATTTGTCTTCCTGTTAGCCTTAAATGAGCTTATTCATGTAGTTACCTTTCCCTACCAGAGTAACCAAGAGCATTTATTTCTATTTTTGACACAAGGTCTTGCTCTGTTGCCCAGGCTGGAGTGCAGTGGCATCATCACAGCTCACTGCAGACTCAAAACTCCTGGGCTCAAATATTCCTCCTGCCTCAGCTTCCCAAGTTACCTTGAACTACAGGTGCACCACCATGCCTAACTTCTTAATTTTGTAGAGACAAGGTCTCACTATGTTGCCCAGGCTCGTTTTGAACTTCTCAGTTCAAGTGATCCTCTGGCCTTAGGCTCCCGAAGTGTTGAGATTTCAGGTGTGAGCCAATACCCCCAGCCACTGAAAGCATTTAGATCATATGCTTTTTAGGGGAACTGATTGTGTTATATTACCCTTAGATACATATAACAGATGCTACTGGTTCAAAATTTAAGACAATTTAGAATTTCTAAGGGATCTTTTAGATCACATCCTTAACCTTTTGGATGGAATAGGTATCACTAAGGCAAAAATGTGTGAGAATGTCACTGTATTAACCTAAGAACAAACGAAAGTAGCAATTAAGAGATCAGTATCATGCAGCATATTTCATATTTGTGTTGACAAAGGATGTTTTGGCCTTTCCGCCCAAGTTTAGACATCTTTTCTATGAATCTGTCTTCTAGGTTACAAAAGCAGGTTGGTCACTGGAGGATGTTGATGTATTTGAAATCAATGAAGCCTTTGCAGCCCTCTCTGTTGCAATAGTTAAAGAACTTGGATTAAACCCACAGAAGGTAAAGATGCACAAGTAACCCTGAGTGCTTACCAGTGAATTTCACAATGCTATTTTAAGATACTATCTTCCAGGTGTTGGCCATGTGGGTAATAAAGAAATACTAGTTACTAGGACTGAGTTCACGTATTTTGTTACTTCCCATGGTTAAAAAAAAAAAAAAAAAAAAAAAAAAAGCTTACTTGGCATTAAGAGAATAAGGTAACATAGGCAGGGATGAATTTTCACAAAGGTGTAAATTTATTCCTAAACAGTTAAAATGAAAATTTGAGTTTGAAAGGGTAGCATGCTGATACATTAAGAGGAAAAAGACAAGTTTAGGATTTTAAACTGTGCCCACGGAAGAATAAACAATCTAAATCTTTTCTCCCCCTTAGGTCAACATTGAAGGAGGGGCTATAGCCTTGGGCCACCCTCTTGGAGCATCTGGCTGTCGAATTCTTGTGACCCTGTTACACACACTGGAGAGAACAGGCGGAATTCGTGGTGTTGCGGCCCTGTGCATTGGGGGTGGGATGGGAATAGCAATGTGTGTTCAGAGAGGATGAATTGCTTAAACTTTGAACCACCTCAATTTCTTTTTAAACTAATAAAGTACTAGGTTGTTATATGTGAAATCAAAGGACCAAAACACAGATGGAAACCATTTCCTATATGACAAAAACCCAAGTTTACAGCTTGTTGTACTTTAATGTGTAATACTTAAGTCAAGGTACAAGACAATTGCATTTAACATTGTTATAAATAAAAGAGACATCAGATCAATCATTAAGGGCTCCAGAGTGAACAGCATCTTCATAACTTCCATGTTTATCATCTTTACTTTCTGGATGTAATTTAATAAGATCATCAATTCGAAGAATGGTAATTGCAGCTTCTGTTGCAAATTTCAAACTCTTAACTTTAACTATGGTTGGTTCAAACACCCCTGCTTGTTTGTTGTCTCGAGGTTTACCATTGCTCAAATCAAGACCAATCCTGCAATTAAGAAAGAACTATTAAAATGGCCGCTTACAACTTAATTAGGTGACCCATTAACTCCAGCATTTCATTCAAGTATTAAGCTTGATTTTTAAGTCAGACTAGAGATCTTGTAGGTTGTCTTTCTACCCAAAGCAGCAGGGAGAGATTAGCAATCAGAGTTGTTAACTAAGGCACACCAGTGCTAATAATTAGTCATTATCCCTTGAATTACAGTGACTAACAACAAATGCTTGCTGTGAAGTTTTTCATGTTAAGTAGTTGACAAGTCTGTTATTTATGTTTGCTGACATGTAACTGACTACTATCCTTTTTAATGGAAACTGTTTTGCAGAGGTTAACAAAGGGCTAAAAAGATGTCTAAAAAGAGGGAAATTGTATGCTTACCATTTTAGATTTTTACGTTCTGGGTTAACCTGAGCCTCATTATGAAAAGCTCTTAATTTTGCAACCAGATCTGTGGAGTCCTGGGCAGCATTAACTGCTAGTGTATTGGGAATAACAAGAAGTGATCTTGCAAACTCTGCAATAGCAAGCTGTTCCCGAGACCCCTAGGAAAAAAGACAGTTAGGTGACTTCACAAAAGGGAAAAAAAATTAAAGCCCACAGCTACTGCTCTCGGGCCTCTAAGACAAGGAATAACTGTTCTTACCATGCTGGTTGCATAGTTTTCAAGGTATATGGAAAGGGCTGCTTCTACAGCACCTCCACCGGGAACCACGGATTTTGACTCCAAAACTCTCTTCACTACACAAAGTGCATCATGTAAAGAGCGCTCCATCTCATCACACATGAAATCATTTGCCCCACGTAAGATAATCGATGCAGATGTACGAGCCTTAGTGCTGTTCAAAAAAAAAAGTGAAATTCTTGTAACAGCATTTTTTAAATGTTTTTTTTTCCAACACCATCAATTTCTCCAAAAAAGGCATTTTAATAAGTCTACATAAAGTGCCCTTAAGTCCTGCCTACACAGGATATTTAGATACACTATACAGAAACAATGTCTAGTCTATGCAGAAGAGATGAAAATGGTTACTTCATCTCAATTCAGTGACCCAATGTTATTTTATCCCACGCGTATAACTGCTCGTATCACTGTGAGACTACAAGCAGCAAATAAATGGGAAGAAAACCTACTTTTACTTAACAAAATCTGTATAACTTTACAATTTTAGAAAGTAGCTCTTACTTTTTGATTAAGATCAGCTCATCATCACAAATTCTCTCCTGTACCACTTCTTCTGCCTGTCCCAACATTGCAGCTTCAAAAGTTTCTTCACCTTCCAAATTGGCCAGGGTTGACAGAATAGTTGCTATTAAGAGTTACAAGGGATCTGTAAGTATCGCTCTTTCGTGATTTTAATATCCTTTAGACTCAGTAGCATTTGTGATAAAAGTGCTATATTACAAGTTTAGAATTTAGTTAGGCAGCACACACTAACTCCTTTTATCCTAAGATAGAACTATGTCATTTGTGAAGTGAACAAATTCAGTTCATGAATTTCCAACAAACTTAATTTCTCCAGTTACATGAAAAATGGCTCTATAAATGTGTTGGCAGCACAAAGCATTAAGAGGATATAAACGTTTTTGAAGCTGTTTCTTATCAATATTCCAATGTAAAAAGACCTTTGATGGGGTCAGGTATAATGAAAGTCTTTTACGTGACAGCCAGCACAAGACATACCTCCAGAAGCTTTCGCAATGCGTTTAAGGTCCCTTTTTAAAACTCTTCTAACTGCCATAGCACCAGCCTCCACAAAATACTTCAGACACATATCATCAATTCCACCAGTGGTTAGAATAACATTGGCACCAGTCGCCAGGATCTTCTGAATTCTCTCCTTGGTAATATCTGATTCTCTGCAAAGTATTTTTGTAACCCAGAGTTACCTTCTGTGACTTTTAAAAAATAATTTAGCTTTAACTTCCATTAAGTATTTATCACAAAATAATCATAGACTAAATTGTATTAACCTTTGTTATCTCTGACCAGAATTTACATTAGTCCAATTCATGGAATATTAGAAGGAATTAAAAATTACCACTTAGCTCTCCCCAACCTGAATTTGAATTACTAATTGAGAACTATGGTAAAACAGGGAACACAGGTCCTGCCTGCCTTCAAGGATCCAGTGGGGAGAGGGATTACCAATCACACTCCAGGGCAAGCGTCACTGAAGTGGTATGCAGAGACTACAAGCACATAAAAGACATACATTTAGCCTAGGAGGCAGATAATGAAGTCAAGAAGAGTCCAGGCCGAGTGCAGTGGCTCACACCTGTAATCCCAGCACTTTGGGAGGCTGAAGTGGGCAGATCACCTGAGGTCAGGAGTTCGAGACTAGCCTGGCCAACACGATTAAACACTCTCTACCAAAAACACAAAAAATTAGTCGGGTCTGGTGGTGGGCGCCTGTAATCCCAGATACTCAGGAGACTGAGGCAGGATAATCACTTAAACCCAGGAGGCAGAGGTCACAGTGAGCTGAGATCGTGCCACTGTACTCCAGCCTGGGCAACAAGCGCAAAACTCCTTCTCAAAAAAAAAAAAAAAAACAAAAAAACACCAGGAGTTCAGAGTTGGAAGCGCAAAAGAAGATAGAACCAGAAAAGTGAAAAACCTTGTAGGATACACCAAACAGTCTAGATACTAAGAAGCTTAACATTTTAAGACTAGTATAATGTTATCTGCGTTTTCAAAAGGATTCCCTGGTATCCATGTGGAAATTGCACTGAATGGCTTAAGACAAGGAGATAGTAACATGAGATATAAGATGACAGACAACCTAAACAGAAGTCAAACTTAATGGCTTGGGTGACTCCTGGAGTAAAATAAATAGCAACAGTTCGGGGGGCAGGATGGGAAATCAGAGTTCAGTTTGGGACAAGATTAAGTTTGAAGTCTCTGTTGTTACTCAGATGAAGCTCCCAGAAGGTAGTCACTTAACATCAAGGAAACCACAAACTATGGGAGATACAGATTTGAAGAGACAATATGAGTGAAGCCATGTGAATAGATCATTCGAATAATTTTTCAAGTAAAATGAATTACAGATCAACCTCAAAGGCAGCTTATCTACTGAACAAATACTGTGTGCTATACACTGTACTAAGGATGGGGCTACGATGCCAATGGAATCATTCTGTCTCTACCATTAGAGCTTACAACTCATGAGTTGTATAAACTCACAGTAAAAACTGTAGTAAGCCCCAGGAAGATAAAATACAGGAAGTTACGAAAGAATATAATTTAGATTAAAGAAGAAAGAAAAGTTTCTCTAAGAGACTAGCTTGGGTGTGTTTCTACAACAGTCTAGGCAAGAAAATGAAACGTAGGTAAATTTAATTTGGAGGTAGAAATCAAGTGGTGTTGGTGACAGATTAGGAGAAAAGGTGTTGGTAAAAAGGAGGAGTTAAGGACATTTCCTAGTTTTCTGCCTGTGTGGAGAAGTCCCCATCACTAAAATGGTCAAGAGCAGATTTGCGGTATTATCACAAGTTCAGAGACATGTTTACTTTGAGATGCTTGAAAAGCATTCTATTAGATAGAGGTGTGTGACTTTGGAGCTCAGAGAAACAGCTTAAACAGTCTCTGGCATAGAGAGATAATACATGAAGTCATGGGAACAAGGGGCTATTCTGGAGAATATTGTGAGATGGTGGCCCAGACAAAGCAGTATCACAAAGCATTTCAAGAAGAACGTAATCAAAGGGTTGCTAAAGGTCAAGTAAGAGGAAGGCTGAAAATGTCTTCTGAATTTCACACTAGAGACCCTAACATGCAGTCCCTCAAATGGAGAACAGGGCTGAAAAGGGATGAGAAGAAAAGCACCAGAAAAGTTTTGTGTAGTAAATCACTCATTATATCTGGCTGTAAGGATGTAGGATAGGGAGTACCTACAGCAGGAGGATGTACGAAGAAGCCTGAAGGGACAAAAGAGCCACATGAAGATTCCAGGAAAGAGCATAATTAGTAGGTATGAAAGAAGAATCAAAGACAAGGCTCTAGAGCAGAAAGAAACAGATTCTGGAACACTTACTGTAGAGCGACTGGCTTTGATGGAAGAAAGGACACTTTGTTGTATCAGGAAGGAAGGAAAAAAGAATACGCATGCAGATTGATTTAAAAGATGAGAGCACATTTCTTACCCTCGGCAAAGCTTTCTTGTAGGTTTGGTTTAACTACTGTTTAAACTATTCATTGTGGGTTTTTTTGTTTGTTTTTTTTAGACAGGTTCTCGCTGTCATCCAGGTTGGAGTGCAGTGGTCCAATCACAGCTCACTGCAGCCTCGACCTCCTGGGCTTCAGATTCTTACCACCTCAGCCTCTCAAAGTGTTGCGATTACAGGCATGAGCCACTGTGCCCAGCCTAAACCATTTATTGTTTTAAGTGACTATTAGGCAGTCAAATCTATAGCAGCGGTCACACTACCTTCACCATTAGCTCTTCAACCACTAATATCACCTGTACCTCCAGTATCTAGCAAACAGTAGGCTACAGTCAATACCACACTGCTGAGTTCTGTACTGCTTTGAGGAAATTAGATTCCTGTCTTTTATATCTTTAATATTAACAGACTCATACAATCAAAATTTCACAAAAAGACAATTTTCATATAGGTTGTATAACCCCAAATCCCTCTAAAAACACCACAAGACTAATTTTTCTGGAAGTTTAAGTAAAATAGTTTGACTTGGCTAAAAATGTTAAAGTCCTCCAAGACACTCACACTTAAAAGCCCAAAAATAATCTTTCAACATACCTCTGTCTAATTTGGTCCAGTTTTTCAGGGTCTGTAATGACCACCTGTACACCAAGCTTCATTTTTGTTTTTTGCAGGCTAAAGTCAAGGCAAGCAATTTTTGCATTTACGATTCTCTTGGGCATGCCTACAATAGAACATAAGATTAAGTTAATACGTCTGTCCTTAAAAGCATAATAAAGAGTACCCATAATTGATTGTATGTAAACACACAAATTTAGACTGTAATTCATTACGTTTTCTCTTAGAAAAACTTTATGGCATTACATGCACGTAATTTCTTTTAATTCACATTCCTTCTAACATGTTGTATGTGCTTTAAATTACAAAAAGATGTACTGCACATAATCCACAAGTTAGTTTTTTTTTGAGACGGAGTCTCACTCTGTGGCCCAGGCTAGAGTGCAGTGGTGTGATCTTGGCTCACTGCAATCTCTGCCTCCCAGGTTCAAGTGATTTTCCTGCCTCAGTCTCTGGGGTAGCTGGGACTACAGATACGCGCCACTATGCCTAGCTGATTTTTGTATTTTTTACTAGAGATGGGGTTTCACCGCATCGGACAGGCTGGTCTCAAACTCCCGACCTCATGATCCACCTGCCTCGGCCTCCCAAAGTGCTGGGATTACAGGCACGAAGCACTGCGTCCCGCCGAAGAAAAAAAAAAGTTAGTTTTAATCTGTAGCTATCTCATTGTATAAACCAAATCCCAAACCTTACCCTGGGATCCCACCACACAGTTGAGTGCATAGCCACTGATGAGCATACTCTCCGTTTGACTTCTCCCATGGGCTTTCAAAATATTAACAGAATTGACTGGATAGCGTGGCTGGCCTCTTGTGTCTGTGTATTTAATAGCAAGTACAGCATCTACCACCATGTTAGCAAAGAAATCACCATTTCTAAGCCAAAAGTTAAGGACGGTAACAGGCTTGGAATGGACAAAGGGTACACAAGTGAAAAATCAAGGATAATTTGAAAGGACTTCCTTTTAGTAACCTAACCTATTAAAGAAGCACGCATTACGTCACCAAAATATTACAACATTATCACTATCTGCAATTCTTATCACTTTTAGACATGCTTTTTATTACCTTTTCACCCTAAAAAAGCAGGGAAAGCAACAGGCAATTTCAATACAGCATTACTCCTCCCTATTGATATCAATTTGCATAAAATTGGTATTTAAAATTTTACTGCACAAAATTGATTGCTACTGCTACTACAGGCGCGCGCTTATGCACACACCCCCACTCCCAAGACAGGGTCTTGCGACGTTGCCCACATTGGACTGAAACTCCTGGGTTCAATTAATCCTCCTGCCTCAGCCTCCATAGTAGCTGGGACTACAGGCACACACCACCATGACCATCTCAAAGTCTTATGTTTTAAAAAGCCTAAATTTTATCTGACAACCACAAGGATACATTCCAATGATTTTGGAAGACATGGATGTCTTAGCAGCATTAATCAGGCAATCTCTTCCCAGTTCATCTGTGTTAACAATTAGGTTTTCATTGATATAACGCACTGCTTCCCTGTTTAAAAGTGTGGGGGAGAAAAACGTTTACAAAGTCACTACTCAAACTCTTTGCAATCATCATGCTTAACACAGAGCCAAAATGTCGTAAGTAATATCTGTTCAGCCATTTCATATAGGAGGAGGACATGAAAAAACCCTCCCTCTTCAGATCATGGCAAGTTTAATCTATCCCATAAGCATAGCCACTAAAATCTATCATTAGGAGAAAATGTGGTAGTCAAATGGGAAAAAAGATACCGGACCAAGTTTTTAACTTCAAATATTACTACTTAAATGCTAAAACATTTAAATGGAATGTTTTCAAATTAAAATTTAGTTATTAATCAAAACATTAAGACAACACACTTTACAACTATTACATCAAAAAAAATTTTCTCTCTATGCAAACAATCTTACTTGCAAGCAAGTCGATAGCCACTAATAACTGATGTGGGATGAATTTTCTGTTTGACTAATTCATCTGCATTTTTTAGGAGTTCTGCGGCAATAATAACCTGTTGAGAAAACATTCACTGATCTGAGTATGCCAGATATTCAACATGCGCAATACACATGAAATGACACTAAAATGGCCATCTATTAGCCAAAATGGTGGTGGTGAAATGAATTAACTGGTTATTAGAAACCTGGGGGGGTGAAGGGAGAAGAATGCTACAAAACACTTGAAGTCCTCAATGTTACTCATAAATTCTTGGAAAGTGCCACTTTAAGCAAAACAACGGACAGCAATTTCTCAAATCCAGTTGTTTATTGTTAACGCTGATGAGGGGAGGAAAATTTATTTTTTTATACATCGTTTTTCCTCTTAAAGTCAGTTTCCACGAATACATTGTGGAGTGAGGTCTTACTGTATTATAAATGCAAATGGCCAAAACTGGGTAGGAGCCAGAAAAACATTCTAAGAAACTAGTACACCCAATACAATCGTGAAAGACAACACACCTATTACCTTTAGAGGGAGTGCTCAATAGAAGCTAAACCGTGTGTGACTATTCATATAACCTATATTAGGCTATTATATTATTAAAAACAGTTCTTATAAGTTGATATGAAACAGTAACAAATACTTTTAAACTAAGAAGACTTAAAATCTTGTCAGCTTCTTATGGGAAGAAAATTACACTTGTTAAGTCACATTATCATAAGTTAGACAAAGATCATATTCATATTTTAGGAGTACATTCCATTCTTTCATGGCTGAAGTTTAATCTAGAAATACATGTTCCCCACAAACTATCTCTTGTTTCTCCAGAATTAACATCTTTCTCACCAAACAAGTGTTTCTACTATACCAGCATGCTGGATGATCATCTATGAAGTTTATACTGTATATCACGTTTACTGACTCGAAAAGATCACACTGTCCTATCATGATGTATTTATTAATTTCTCACACTCCCATTTTGAATTCCTGAGATTACCTGTCAGGATTTAAAAAATAAAACAGGCTTAGTGCAGCAGCTCATGCTTGTAATCCCAGCACTACAGAGGCTGAGAAGGGAGGATCAATTGAGGCCAGGAGCTCAAGACCAGCCTGGGCAACATCGTGAGACCCTGTCTCTACCGAAAAAAAAGAAAAAAAAAACAAAAAGATTTTTAATTATTTGGTTGTGGTGGCATATGCCAGCAATCCCAGGCACTCTGGGAGGCTAAGGCGGGAGGATTACTTGAGCCCAGGTGTTCTAGGCTGCAGTGAGATATGACAGCACTGCAGCACTTCAGCCTGTGCTACACATGGTCTCTTAAAAAAATAACACAAAAACATTGTTTCTCCCCCAAACTGGTAACATTTTGTTCTCTAAATAATTACAACACTTTAGAGCTTTCCAAGTCTCAAGGGGTGATGCGGGAGGAAACAAGATTTTTGAGAGACCATAAAAAAATCTGTGTGATGTCTGAACACTGCCATAAAGGGAAAAATAAGCCCTCAAAACCTGTGAATACCAACATTTAAAACAATGGGGCTATGTTAAATGAACTCAAATTCTTTCCTACTTAAACTGTACAAACAAGCTATAACTACCAACTTACAAATTGTGTTTCTGAATCTGTACCTAAGAAGCCTATTTTCCCTCTTAAATGTGTAACTTTGTTTTTTCTTTTTGCTCAATCATCTGGGCATTCAGAATATGTAACTTATTTCTGACCCAGCACAAATGACCCACTTATGGCTTCAACTTTCTGAAAGTCGGTTGTTTTTAGAAAAATGATCATTCTTTAGCCAGTCTACCTACCACTGATGTAGTTCCATCTCCAACTTCTTTGTCTTGCAGATCAGCCAGCTCACAAAGAACTTTAGCTGCAGGATGTTCAACTTCCAGTAACTTGAGGATGGTTGCACCATCGTTAGTAATGGTCACATCCTAAGAAATTAGCAGGAAAAAATATGAACCACTCATAGAAATCAACACAGCCCCATTATAATACATTCACCTTTAATATCACCTTCCAGTACCTGGATTCTGATAAAATCAAAGAATGAACACAGCAAAACACTGAAAATAGTTTTACTTTAAGGCAACTAACACAACAGTTAACGTGTACTTACACCGATATCATCCACCAGCATTTTATCCAAGCCAACAGGACCAAGAGAACTTTTTACAATATTGGCAATCGAAGCTGCAGCCATAACTGTAGACAATTAAAAACACAAATAAAAAAGAAATAAGAATCCACAATTCTGAAAGACAGTAATTTCAGCCTAAAGGTAAATGACATCCAACAACCCCTGTATTTCCCAAATCTACAAATCTGCGTTAATTATTTAAAAACCACCTACTAGGAACCTAAATGGGGCGGACACTGTGGCTCACATCTGTAATCCCAACACTGAAATGCTGAGGCAGGAGGATAGCTTGATGCCAGGAGTTCGAGACCCCCTTGGGCAACATAGCGAAACCCATTTCTACAAAAAATAAAAACAAAGCCGGATGTGGTGGCGCGGGCCTGTGCTTGGAGACTGCAGTGAGCTATGCTGGCACTCCCGTCTGGGCGACAAGTGGGACCCTGTCCCTAAATAAAGCGAGCCTATTTGGCACAGCTTTGATGAGGGAGTGGAATCTGATGGCGGGAGAAAAAAAGTAATAACCACAATTTAATGCTCTGCCACTTCGTACAGCTATGCCAGTCTTGATCCTGCAAGTTTTTTGCTCATTAAAACTCTTTTTATCTGTGAGGAGAGAAATCGGTAGCCAACGGGGAAGGTACTTTCAGATTTGTTTACGAAAAAAAATTACGAATCTATCAAAAAACAGTGCGCTCTGTAGGTATACAAAGGCCCGACAGCAAACGCTCTGCTAAGTTGTCGCTGCCGTCTCCTGGGGTCAACTGCACTCCAGTGGCGTTTCCTGTGCTAACTCTACTTTAAGATGCTATTAACCGAGAGAGAGCCGGACGCCGGGCGCCCGACCCCGACTACAGCTACGGGCGGAAAGGACACTGGGCTCATCCGCAGGGGCGCGGATGAACCTACTTTTTCTGGTAAATAGTCCTGAAACGAAACCCGGCGTTTAACAGGGACGCTCAGGAGGCCGCCCTGAAACAAAAGAGGATACGAGGCGTGGCCCGCACGTGCAAGTCCGGGAGGCCCGCTTTCCCGCGGAAGGCGGCGCGTTTCCAGCGCCGCCCCGGACACCACATCCACGCGGTGCCGGTCTCAAAACCCTGCTGCGCGCTCCAGGGCTCCTCCCCGCTGTGGGGAGAGGGGTCGACAACGCCCTGCCCCAGAGAACGGCGGGTGGGCCGGGTCCGGCTGCGGGGCCTCGGGGCCCTTTCTGCAGAGGTAAAGGAGGAGAGGCACGAAGCGGTCAGCCCGGGTCCGGTCGCGATGGGACTCGGCCCTCCCAGCCCGCGAGCCCGACCCAGGCCCGGCCCTCCCTTACCGTTCTGGGAGCGGATCGCTTCCCCAGTGCTGCGGTCACCGAACACGGACAAAGGCCCCTCCATCTTCGCGGCAGCGATACACGTTGAATTCTGCTCACAACGCGGGCAACCAGTATCGCGGTCCCTCGGCTGACCGGCGACCACAACAGTGGCTGCGACGGCGTGGAGGGTACCCGAGCGATGCCCCAGGAGCTGCTGGGTAACACCGCTCTACCCGCTTCCCGGCTGCCCCGGCCAGGCCGCGGGGCACGGCGGGAAGGAAAAAGAGGCGGGGGCAACAGGAAGAGAAACGGGAGTGTGCCGGAAGTGAGGCTCTCGGGAAGGGGCGGGATCGGCATTTTTATCCAATTAGATAGCCGATGGGAAGGGGGCGAAAGCGGAGAACGGAAGTCGGATCTTGGACCGCTGGAAAGAGGCGGAACCTTCGCTGCAAACAACCTTGCGCAGACGCAGTGGGCCATTCTAGTGCCTTCTAGAAAGGTTGTAGGCGGGTGGAGCTTGGAGCTGGGGTGTAACTGGAGGGGCGGGCCCTTCTCCAAGGTAGAGTTGAGGTTCTGAGCGAGTCTTGCGTTTTAGCTTTAATGTCTTTTCCTCGTCCCTGCTCGGGGAGCGTAAGGCAAATCGGCCGGCTTTGCTCCAGGCCTCAGGAGTATAAGTTTAGGGGCGCGAACCTGGGTGGGACGGGGCAGTTTTTCCAGCGGGCCACACGGGAAAATTTTTGGTTCGAGGAAGACAACTACCCTTTTTAAGGAGAAAACTGCACCGTGCCCTGCCTCATTTCTACGCGCTGCCCAGTAGGGGTGTGTATGGACCAGTCAATGACCGCCCAAGATCTCTTAGTAGACAACTCAAATATGGTTAGGTGAAGTTGTGGGTGCCTTTGACCCTGGACTTCAGCAAAAAGCGTGGTCGTGGGCGTAGCTACGAGGTGATTGGTGGGTTCCAGGGCCTGCGTGCCCCTCCACGTGAGCGGTGATTGGCGTTGCTGGATAACAGATCCTCCTCATGGCCACTCAGTGGCGGAGGACTTGCTACTTCCGGGTCGGGGGCGTCTGGCGTGGAGAGTTTGGGGATCTACAGCAACCAAAGGCTTTTCCCTGACTTCGTATGATTGCGGCAGGTGAGCCAGTGAGTCGTGCGTGAGGAAAAAGAGGCAAGGCTTTTCCGAGATCGTCTCAGCGATGGCGCTTCGGTCGCGGTTCTGGGAGTTCTCCGTTTGCAGGAACCCTGGTAATTAGTCTTGGCCCCCTTCGCCCCGCTGATTGGCCAGGGTCTGCACAGTACTTTGGAACGTGCGGATTCTATTGTGTATTCGACGTGCCGGGTCGAAATAGAGTTCGCGGCACTGCGAACACCTCGGTAGGAAGTTAAGGACGGGGTCAGTGCTGATTCCACCCTGTGGGCACACGTATTTTTCGTCCCCTGGGCCTGAAGACTGGGGGTGTGAAAGGGGATAGACGTTAGAGCGAGTTCGTGCGCTCTCCGTATCCGTCATTTTTAAGCCTGGTGCGGTTGTTTCCGTTGCCCAGGGTGCAGGTTCGCAGCCCTCTCAACCAGCTCCCAGCCGGCGGCGAAGCCTGAAGTGCACCCTGTGGAAAATGAAGCTGTCGCCCCAGAGTTCACCAATCGGAACCCCCGGAACCTGGAGCTTCTATCTGTAGCCAGGAAAGAGCGGGGCTGGCGGACGGTGTGGCCCTCCCGTGAGTTCTGGCACAGGTAATTAAATCTGCTTGTGATTGACAGAGAAGGACCCTGCACCCTACGGACTATTTTAATTCGTTCAACGCCAGGCTCTCTCCCAGGTAGCTGCCATGCGGCGGGTAGAGGCAGGGTTCGCGGAGGGGCTGGAGCAAACAGCAAATAGGTGTGATGGCGGATATTTAAAGAGGACATTAGAGTAGCGGACAGGATACCTACTAAGGCCTGTCTGAGGAGGTGACATTTAAGAAGCTGAGATCTGAAAGGAAGAAGCCGAGTCATCTGCCAGAAAGAGCATTCCTAGCAGAGGAAACTGCTGGGGTGTTTGAGGAACTGAAGGGCTTGTGGATGTGAAGCTCAATGGGCAGAGGGTGAATGGCCTAAGATGAACATGGAGGGGTAAGGAGGCGACAGATCATTAACTTTGTAAGTCAGGATGAGCACTTTAGACTTTATTTTCATTGTAGTGGGAAACGACGAGAGGATTTAAAGCTTGACCCCGAACTAGTTTTGCAAGATCTTTCTGACTGGGCGTGGTGTCTCATGCCTGTAATCCCAGCACTTTAGGAAGCCAGCCAGGGAAGGCGAATCATCTGAGGTCAGGAGTTTGAGACCAGCCTGGCCAACATGGTGAAACCCTGTCTCTACTAAAAATACAAAAATTAGATGGGCATAGTGGTGCACGCTGTAATCCCAGCTACCCCAGTGGCTGAGGCACGAGAATCACTTGAACCCAGGAGGTGGAGGTTGCAGAGATCTGAGATCGCACCAGTGCACTCCAGCCTGGGCGACAGGGCAAGATTCTGTCTTTAAAAAATAAATAAATAAATAAATAATCATTCTGGCTGGTTTTTGGAAGACTAAATTTTTAAGGGAACAGGAATAGAAGAAAGACCAGCTAGGAATCTAGCATGACATGAGATACTTTGTTATAAAGGTGATTGTTTAATGAACACTTATATTTGCCAGGAATTATGCTACTTGCTTTATATTTTCTCATTTAATCCTTAAAATTACATCATGAAGCAGTTATTTCCCCCATTTTACAGGAGCAAAGAAATTGAGGTTTAGGGAGACATGATTAATAAGTGCCAGAGCTAAGATTCATGTATGTTCTGACTGACCTCAGAGCCAGGACGTTAAGTTATTACGACTATATGTAGGTGTTTATCAGGTTTCTCTGCTGCTGATCTCCTTGGTGAGGATTTGTTAGAATTTCTTAAGGACTCTAAGGGCTATATAAAGTTATAAGAGTAAGTTGGAAATCATAACTATGTGATGTATTATTTATTTATTGACCAAACATTGTACCTATATCACTTGCTGGGCATTGTGTTAGATTCAGGAGGTACAAAGATAAAAGTAGAAGTTATCCCTGTCACCTCAGAGTGGAAAGTGGAATGGGGATAATGATGTGTTACAGTTGCTCTGATACATTTTTACTCATAGAGGAGGGAGTCTTTCAAGAAAGGGAGAGGCAGTTCAATTTTTAAATAATCTGGATCTTCAGGCTAAAGATCTTTTGAAACACCCAACCTATTACTTTCTTTTTTTTTTTTTTTTTAGACGGAGTCTCGCTCTGTCGCCCAGGCTGGAGTGCAGTGGCCGGATCTCAGCTCACTGCAAGCTCCGCCTCCCGGGTTCACGCCATTCTCCTGCCTCAGCCTCCCGAGTAGCTGGGACTACAGGCGTCCGCCACATCGCCCGGCTAGTGTTTTGTATTTTTTAGTAGAGACGGGGTTTCACCATGTTAGCCAGGATGGTCTCGATCTCCTGACCTCGTGATCCACCTGTCTCGGCCTCCCAAAGTGCTGGGATTACAGGCTTGAGCCACCGCGCCCGGCCTACTTTCTTTTTTGTTTGTTTTTGAGACAGGGTCTGGGTCTGTTGCCCAGGCTAGAATGCAGTGGTATGATAACCTGCTTATTGCATCCTTGACTTCCCCTGGGCTCAAGCAATCCTCCCACCTCAGCCTCCTGAGTGACTGGGACTACAGGCGCATGCTAATTTGTTTTATTTTGTTTGAGACAAGGTCTGGCTGTGTCACCCAGGCTGGAGTGCAGTGGTGCAGTATCAGCTCACTGTGACCTCTGCCTCCCAGGCGCAAGCGATTCTCCCATCTCAGCCTCCTGAGCATCTGGAACTGCAGGCACGCACCACCATGGCCGGCTAATTCATTCATTTATTTATTATTATTATTTTGCTATTTTTTGTAGAGATGGGGTTTCACCACTGCCCAGGCTGGTCTCGAACTTGTGAGCTCAAGAGATCTGCGTGGCTCAGCCTCCCAAAGTGCTGTGATTACAGGCATGAACCACTGCGCCCAGGCCCAACGTATTACTTTCACTTAATATTTGGATCATTTAAATAACTAGAGATATATTTTCTTTTTTTTCTCTGTCTGCCCTACTCGCAATATTAAAAGCAGAGAATTTCAGAATGTTATAGTAGGAAATGACCTTTCACATAATGAATCAGGCCCTTCATTGAACAAATGGTTTAAGATGGGTCAGCAAACTATGGCCCATGGGCCAAAGATAGCTTGTGAGCTAAAAAATAGTTTTTACTTTTTTAAGTTAAAAAAAAATCAAAATAATATTTTTTGACTTGTGAAAATTAAATGAAAACCAAATTTCATTGCCCGCAAGTTCTTAGAACAGAGTTAGGACATAGCTGTACCCATTCTCATTTGTTTACACATCACTTGGCTGTTCTAGCACTACAGTGGCTGAGTTGAACAGTTTCAACAGAAGCTGTGTGGCCTAGAAAGCCTAAAATATTTACTATTTGGCACTTTGTGGAAAAAGATCGTTGACTCCTGGTTTAAAAGATTGTGATTTTTCTCTACCCTAAGACACAGACAGACCCTGTCTCAAAAAAAAAAAAAAAAAGACCATATGAAGCTGGACACAGTGGCTCATGCCTGTAATCCTGGTGCTTTGGGAAGTTGAGAAGGGTGGGTCGCTTGAGACCAGGAGTTGATACCAGCCTGGGTAACATAGTGAGACCTTGTCTCTTCAAAATAAAAATTAGCTTGGTGCAGTGGCATGCACCTGTAATGCCAACTACTTGGGAAACTAAGGAAGGAGAGTTGCTTGAGCCTAGGAGTTTGAGGCTACAATGAGCTGTGGTTGCACTACTGTACTCCAAATTGGGTGACAGTGAGAGACCCTGTCTCTGAAAAATAAAGCCATATGACATGGTTTGATGTCATATTTAAATATGCATACCTGAGATTATTTTTAAAAAATCTAATGTTTTCTGCTAGTACTGTTATGATTTCAGTTTTTACATTTAAATTTTTGCTCCGTCTTATATTTATTTTGGTACTAGCTGTAAAATAAAAGCAAGGAGTAAGTATATCGACATCATGCGTAGGTTCAGTAACTTAGGTCTGCCTCTTCAAATCTCTTTTTGAAGTAGATCTGTAAGTAAAAACTCAGCTCTTCAGAAACAAATTTCTTCATGATAATTGAACTATTTAGTTTGTTATTATTGAGTATATTCTCATAAAGGCAGAGGAAAAACACTTCCCAAGCAAAATCCAAGTTAAATATGTTGAAGTAAATTAACCAAACGCTGGATTGTTGAAAAATATTTAGTCATTTATTCACCTGAATTAATGTAACTTTAGGATAC